CTACGCAAGAGAGGTCAAGTGACGATCAGCCACGCCGCGCTGACATGGTACAACAAGGTGAATGCTTAGAAGGTTGAAGAAAATCGGTCGAGAAGCAGCGAGGAGACTACTCCAGGTCATCAGCGTCCCCCGCCAGATGAACGTCATGATGCAGTCGGAGACACTCTCACAGGGTGAGCAGCCCATCGACAACTAAGCCTCTCTGCATCTCTTTCACAGTAATCAGCACATCCCTTCCCATAGTCCTCAACTCAGTGAGTCCGGCTAACGAGCCAGTATCTCAATGACCTGCAGGATGACATGGATGTGGTACAATATCATCTCAACGTGGTATTGCAGTACAACACAGCAGGGCCAATAAGTCCTGCTGTGTCTACGGATTATCCTTCAGTCAGTGTACACGTTTAGAGGTACATGGTGCACATTATCTCAGCTAACCCCAGGAGCTTTTGTGCATGGTCTGATCGTCAATGATACTAGTCACTTGGACAACGCCGGCTACCCTCGGGGCTGTCTGGCTCCTGCTAGCGAGAAAATAGACGACGAAAATGGCGTGCATGAAGATTCCATGCTAGTAGCTCGCGGGGCTTTAGTGTGCGGTAATAAAGTCCAGGAGTATGGCTTTGCTTAGGATGGCAGAGGACAGCAGCATGGGATCTGTGAATACCTCTAGTATACTCAATTACTACTATTAGTCGATACCTGAAGGTCCAACAAGTAGATACCTGCTGAATGAAGTAAATAACTCTTAAACTTAGAAGCCAGTACTTTGGCTTGATCCTGACCATGTTTCACTACAGAAATAACTCAACTTGATCCTAGATAGTATACTATATACTATCCGAACATTATATAGTACAAAATATATATCGAGCAGTATTATACATGATCTACCAACGTGTACATCAGCCACACCATGCACCATCCTGAGGAAGCAAACAAACAAGCTATAATACTATTCAGATAATCATAATATCACAACTATGCCTTTCATCAAGAAATCGTCTGCCCATCACCCGTACAGATCAATACATACCAGTACACGAAACCATACGCCATACATAACACATATACAATACCATACACCGCCAAGGAACCTCCCTCGGGCATAACGGACATAATAACCCTCTTCTCCATCTAAATGACCAACAAGACTTCCCAACCAGAATAGCAGAATAGTAAATTATCAAAGTCGAAAACAAATACAACGATAGAGCAGACAAAAAAGTATACACATTCCACCGAAGCAGTCCTATTCCATCCCAACCCCAATCAAGCACCTACACTCGAAACGCATGGCCAAACCCCGCCAAAGACCGATCTCCAATCCAAACATTCCAATCACCTAAAGCCCAGCCAAGTCAAAATCACCACATATACACATACATAAACCTAGCATTCCAAACCCAACATATTCCCTAATTTTCAAATCCCGAAAAGACAAAGATTCTGTGTTCTGTGTAGTGTGATGTAACTTTAACTTTTCCCCTTCGATTCAGTTTTTTTTTCCAATCTGATTCAGAATAAAGTCTCTCCTGGGAGTAATCTGATTCTAACTAACCTGTTTCCTAATTCTTCTTCTTCTTACCTCTCCTTCAGAGAAATGATCTGCACTCTGTAGGGTTTTTCCTGTTTTCTCATGACTCGCGCGTGAGGTAAATATGTATGTATCGTACCCTACATATCCCCTATCCCTTTCTTAGGCGTTGCTATTGTTGCTGTTGCTGGTTTTGATGCTTGCGATGCTTGGCTGTGTCTGCTGAGTTCTTATCTGAGAGCCAAGTATGTACTGTAAGTAGTTATGGATAAAGGGGGTGGGTGCTTTCTCCGAGGAGATATATCTATCTGAGGGTCATTCCATTTCATTTATGTTGCATGGTAGGTTTGAGACAGACATGAATTACTTGCATAGTACATAACTTGGTTTGAGTGATATTGTACATAGGAGTAGCAGTAGGGGTAGGAGTATCACCGATGATTCTCCATTTAGTAGGACCCTGTCTACCTACCTACCTGCCTACCTGTCTGCCAGCCATGCAGTCTGGTTCGAATGATGCATAGTTGTAGAGTTGCATGTGGGCACTGTGTGTGTGTATGTTGGGTCGAGGTGTGTGTGTGTGTGTGTGTATCCGCCTGCCTGCACCGGAATCTCGAACCGGTAAGTAAGTATGCTCTTCCTACTACTACTACTACTACTACTACTACTACTACTACTACTACTACTACTACTACTAATACTTTTCCGGTACGGGGAAGAAGAAGAAAGGGGGGAAGTGTGGTTTAGTTACAATGCATTTACTGGGTTAGATTTGAATAACTCATTAGTATGTTTATGTTATGTTACGCTACTTATGTATGCTGCTGGCTGTAGTGAGAAAGAGGGGGAAGGGAAAGGGGTACACAAGATGGAAGTATACTTATGTATGTACCTTCTCACATGTAAATGTACTGCGACATACCTACATACCTAGTTTCTCTACGTAGTGGAAGTACCAAGCTGGATGCATGTGACTACTACTTCATAGTTTATGTCGATAGAGGGGACATAAATCATCTACTTATGTATGTTGTATTGTGTATATATCTTCTTTACATAATGTACTATTGATGAAGGATCAAGTTGGCTGAAGAAGGGGTAAGTCGAATATCTTGGTATTCGTTTCTCCTTACGTCGCAGTTTTCGTCGTGCTCGATATGGATACTACCGTAAGTAGTAGTATTAATAGGTATAGTAGTAGTTAGATGATACGTAGTAGTTACCTACCGACCCCCGGATATTTTCATTATGGCAAGCGAATAGAAAGAGAGGCCAAGAAGAGGGCAGACCGGGGAAGTGGAAGGAAGAAGCAGGAGAAGAAGAAGGTAGGTAGTATTTGTCATTGTTTGTCGCAGACTCGCAGTAGTTACTTACCTCGGTCGGAGGGTACATATCCAGCTAGTTAGTTAGTTACTAATTATTTACTCTGCACTAGAATCGATAATAATAATCCTGTCTGCTATGGTTTCGTATACAAACACGACAATCATATCACAACAAAATATAGGATAGGTACTTACAATAACCGATGTTGAGCATTGTTTAACTAAACTAGTAAGTAGTTAGTTAGTTGGAAAGTGACGATCGCTCTTTTTTTGCTCCGCACAGCAAAGCAGCAGCACGCGGGGCCTTGCCCGTGTGTACATCCATGTCCAACTAAAACTATCTAGATACATACTACTACTAACACGCTACGGAGTACCTTATAAGGAAATTGCCTGAAACAAATGAGATCAAAACCCACGGTTACTAACCGAATCCATTCGGTGCTCAATCCTGGGTCGCGGTCGGTCGGTCGGTCGGCCGGCCGGCTGGCCTTGTCACAGTTTCTTGTCGCAGTCTCTTGTCTACCTGTTTTTGGTCTCCACTACGAGAGAGGGTAACTAGGTAGGCAAGCATCCTTGGGTTATTGGCAAGCAATAATTAGACTAGACAAAAAGACGGATGTATCTATCTGGGGCTCTCCCCTCCCGCGCCAATTCTGGATACAACCTAGGGTATGTCGAGAACAAAGAAGGGCCAAGTTGCGAAACAAGGTCGAGAACGGGGGGGTTAGCCTTGTTTTCCGAAGTGGATACTTGCACGGAGATCACCGAGAAGGGAAACAAAGAGAAATTGCTATGACGGGAGAGAGAGAGAGAGAGAGAGAGAGAGAGAGAGAGAGATATGTCTCGTTGGTATTGCTACGATGTGTGGGGTGGGTTTTGGTTTCTAGCGATCGTGTAGATGGTTGGCATTTTCTCTTTCCCTACTTAGTGAAAAGAAAAGTCGGGTGAACCAGAGGTTGAGAGATGCTTAGCAATGGGGAGAAACCATGGGTTCTCCGGGGGTGGTCCGAGGACTGGACCGAAGGAAGGAAGGGAATGACTCCTCCGTGGGTTTCCTTTAGCCAAGAAGGTCAAGTCAACAATTTACCAAGTCAGTAATAATGATGAGGTGGTTAGAAAGTAAGGCAAGTCAACTAAACGAGTATGGATGGTGGGTGAGGCATTCTGCATGACCGTGTTCAAAACTACTCCTAGTTGATAGTTTAGTTAGTTAGTATCAGTCCGAAGTTAGGAGTAGTAAGTATCTAGTGTTACTCTAAATTTATGCCGTCTCTTGAGCGGCTCCATAACCTCTACTGGAAGGCAGAGGAGGAGAGGGGGTTGGTGGTCGAGAGTACTCCGGAGTCAAAAAACAGACGAACAGACGAGGGAAGACGAATGACCCCAACGAACATGGATCGGAAAGAGAGGGATGAGACAGGAATCCGGCTGCCTCCATGCAGCAGCAGCAGCCCCAGTTGTGCGAGTGCGAGAAGAGACCAAAAAAATAAATTAGATTAACTGGGACAATCAGTGCAGGCCACCGGCTGATTCTCGCAGCGCGAATACTACACCATGGACCCGACAGTCTGGTAGAGGGTGTGATAGTTGGGCATTAGTAGGCAACCTTGAGCAGGTTCCGTCCAGCTGAGGGGTTTTCTCAGTAGGCTGGTTGGTATCCCTGGTAAGTTTGGCAAATGGTCCCCGAGGCTGGGAGGAGGAGGGGGGAAAAATGTGAGGGAAATTGCACTCGCTATCCACGGTGGGTAAGAAACCAAGGATGTCTTGAACAATGAAAATATTCATGAAGCTTTTCACACAGTTGCTTAGATATTACTTTTTAAGCCCTACGTAGGTTAAAAGCTGGCTCGAGCTGGTACCTGACTGACTCAGTGGATGAAAACGGTTAGGCATTTCTTCAGTCAGGATTAAGGCGTGGTAAGCAAGGAGTAAGCTTACCTGGGGTACGTCCTTTAGGGGAGGTACTTTGCTTGCCCGTGGCACCATTTAGGGTGAGTCCAGCGTGACACTGAAGAGGCGGCGGGCGCACCGGCTGTGACTGCTCTCAGGCAGAGAGAGAGAGAGAGAGAGAATAACTACACTAGTTTAGCAGCAGCAGCAGTAACTAACTCTTGGGTTGTTGTCTGAGACGCGGAATCGATCTCGCTTGCCGACGTCGATCGAACGGCCGGCCGGCTTGGATTGGCCGTGACTGGAGGCGTATGGTATGGTATCGGACCTTACAGCGCGCCGGTCCATCCGGGCTGCAGCCAGGCTTAACTCAACAGAGTCACTGTAGGGGAAGGCCTGATTGCTTGCATGGCAGGGGCCAGCTTGGCACTTGCTGGGGTCAATGCTTCCCTCTCTGGCTCCATGGCAGCCCACACTAGTATGTATTCTGGCTGTAAACCAAAAAAGGCCCTTGGGGGAATGGGAAAGTTATCGACGCGATCATCCTATAGTATGCATCATTATTGGTTTGCATCGGATAATTATAGCCTCCTGTACTCCGTAGTCCAGTCCAGTCCAGTCACTACCCCCCATCGACATACATCATCCTGACTGACTGACTGATTGACGATGCACCGCCCTTGTGATATGAAATGTTGTCGAGCACATGCATACATACATATATACGCGTACATACATACTTCTTTGCTTCATTTAGTGACTTACCCACATTAGTAAGAAGTAGGTAAGCTACCACTGACTAACTGGTCATAGTTATGGCAATCTACGGTGTGCGGACCATCTCTGTAGGTACCAATAACACTAGTACGTCCTAAGTCGGAGTAGTTAGCCAAAGGGTCGATAGCACCCGTCATAAGCTATTGACGGGGGACAGCCATTCCGAACGCTAGCCAAAAGACCGTCTACATACGGAGTACTTCCTTTCTTCTCCTCCTTCCTCCGCCCCCCTCACCCCCACTCAGTTTCTTAAACGCCGGACTCTAAGGACTTGGCTGGTCTCCGTTCTCCGTAGCGACTCCATCACGTAGCGTCAGGACAGATGTACAACGACTGCGCCGCAAATCCTCGTCTACGACAGTCTAGACTGTTACTTTAGATGTCAATCATTGGCTCGGAGTAAAGCTGATTGGTTGCAGGAATGTCGTCCGGCCGAACACAATGTGCAATAATGAAAGATGCCTGCATCTTGTCTCGCGCTTCCACTCCTGTCGCATACATTAGGTGTCAATCTCATTGTCTTGTCCCGAGGCATGCAATTTATCCTTTTCGTCAGTAGACAAGAAAATAAGAAAAATAGATTCGAAAAAAAAAAAAAAAACAAAATGGGTCTGCCTTACGGCGCGGCCAGACTCGGGATCCGTACGTATCGGGACTCGGCATCGCGCATGGATTACTCGCTTCTGATTACTATACTAAGCCATCTACTTGACCTGCTAGGCATAGCGTTCGCCACTAAGTACTAATATGCAGCGGGCGACGGGGAGAAAGTGAGGCCTGCGCTCGTTGCAATTGGCCCCACGTGTTGCGAGGCGCAGGGGTAGAGACTCGTCGGTGCCTGAGCGAATGGGCAGAGGGGGGGAGGGCTCAAAGAGGAATGAGGCTGAAGGCAAACGAGACAGACTGAATGATTCCTTCAGTCGGCATAGTCTCAAACTTCCCGGAGAATCATCGAACTTCTTGCACAGCTCTGTGCAATGAGAGATTTTGATCGAGTAAACATCCTATAGTAGTAAGTAGGTAAGGGTCTCACCCTCTTACGACCTGTCCATCTACTAAGTACTTACTAGGTGTTTAGCATTCTCGAGGGTTAATCACCGAGATTGCCCAAATGGGTAAGACAAGCCAACCAATCAGAAACAGGACTGGTTTGAGTTTCATCATCAAAAGTCCACCAATAAGCCAAGTAATTGCGGCGAAAAAGTCAATGGCAGCAGGAATGGAGGCAGACGGTGTCCATTTTCACCGCCGCGGCTGCGGCCTCGGACCTGGAGCTGAAGCTTATCGTCAAGGCGGATCTGAACCGGCCGCGGCTTGGCAGTCAGGCTCCGGTGCAGCCCAGAGCTTAATAATGCGGGAATCCCTATAAGGAGCTCTGACGAGAGAAAGAAAAACAAACGTAAAAAGGAAGTGATGAGCATGGTCGGATAAATTTTTAGTTTACAGAGGAGACACAGTGCGTGAACATTACCTACTGTGGACCAAAAAAAAGCTCTGAATACGAGAAAAATAAGAGGCGGGGGCTCCTTTCTTAAAGATAGTCGATCCACCAGAACCAAATATCAGTAAATGCGCCAATTTCAAAAGGGTAAACAATCATGATGGGATCCTCTTGACGGATGGTTCAAGTATGGATATCTAGACGGTGGCGCGGACAATCTCATCCAACACCACGCCACAGATCCTGGAGATCAAACGTGGTGAACGTGGTCTCAAATCCTACCACGCACAATGAGAAGGGAGGTCGGCCTCATATCATTTAGCGCAGTAGACTACAATCCTTTGCCGCAGCGAAGGATTTGTCGCCCGGACCGAGCAGTGTCTTCTAGAACTTAGACAGGCACCAATCAATAATCATGGGCAAATATGCCCGTGGCTTTAGCCAAAGGTGCTCGTGAATATTCCTGCCGGATCTCCGTGCCAACCCCTTCCAAGGCTCTTAGCGTCGCCGTTCGGTGGATAGCCTGCCTGATAACTTTTTTTGGTCGCTACTTAGATCAGCCCCGATCCGGACCGGTGGAGGCTAATGGTCTCGGAATGAATGGACTATGGAGACGGGAGGGGGGAAAGGGAAGAAAAAAATGGAGGCAGAGGCGGGGCCCAAGGTGATTCTGCACGATGATCTGTTCAACAGGTTGCTGATGTGAGGTAGTCAGCCTAATGAGGTTCAGGTGATGTGGTTGATGATTGGAGAGGCGTTGTGCATCACTACGCAGTGGTCACTGCTTATCGAGAGGACGAGAGGGAGCATCAGCTGATGATGAGACTCCCCCAATTGATCTGCTGACAGGAAAGAGAATTAATTACAATACTTCGCTTCCGGGCGAGTGTCGGCCCTCGTCTGGAATGAAGACCAGAGTCCAGATTAATATTTATATTATTATTACACATGATGCAGTTCTATTGGCGTGATAAGAAAAAGGTTTGGCGAAAGTGTCAAGTCTACCAATGATCGGGATTTCCGTCGGGTAAAATTTGTGCAATCAAATCAGTTGATTAAGCTTTAGGATGCTAAATGTTGACACTATCCCTAAAACGAGAGCACTTCGGAGAGTGCTCCGTGTGCGAAATGCAACTCCAGCTTCACTTCGTGGTTAGTTTATTAGGCTGTTAAATTAATTGACATCTGACATATCCAGTCCGCAGCAAATCTGATCTGGGCAAAACGGGGCACTATAGCCTCTAGAGTAAAAGAATGGTCCAGTCGGAATGTTTGCAAGCTAAACCAAGACATCCCTTCCTTAGGCTCCGGAAGCTCTGGCCAAGTGTGGTGCCTCTTTTAGTCCACACCCGTCTTTTCATCCTCTGTTCTGACTGCCTCGAATGCCAACAGCGGCCCCGCTTCTTCAAACCAAAGATGCATCCTCGCCAACAAGTGTCACGGTCAGTATGACCATCAATAGTCAGGTTGGTGTTCAGCAATATGAGTGGTTCTCAGCAAAGAGAAGATACACGAGGCTGCAGGAATAGACTGCCTGGCCGTCTAAGCCATTGTCTGTCGACCCTCTCCAGGCAGCATAACTAAGCCACCGTCATAGTTCCATGCATTGGTCCATTAGAAGAAAGCAACGTCATGTGCAACGCCGCATCACCGTTGAGCCTTGACGACCTTGACAGCGACTTTTTCGCTGTTGTGCGAGGCAGAAAGGGTGGGTTACTACTGCAACTACCTTGTCAAGGGGTGAGGGGAAGTTGTTAGTGACCAAAAGGCTCTGTAACTAAACCCGACGGGATCTTCCCGTCCGTTCCGGTAAGTACAAACGCGTATGTTTTGAACTGTTTCCCTGATATATCCATTATGCATCGATTGACTACTCCTTCATTTCGCAAGTAGTGAATATCTTCGCACTGAATTGGAATCTGAGGCAAGCTTAGAGTTGCGATCCTTGATCGATGACGGGCCGGTGGCTTTGACGGAACTACGGTATGAGAAGGGTGGTGGCTTCAGCCACCACGTAGTACACAATACAGGAACATATCGATCTTTCTGGAAGATCCAAATCAGGTGAGGCTCGGCACATATTCCGATATGTCACACAATGGCAACACAATATCATCACAACATCCCTCATTAAGTCACTGTGTCCGGACTCGGTATGTAGAACGTGCAATGATTCCCAATCGGGGCACTCAAGACTGGGTTGAATGGCTAGGATAGCCCCTGAAGGTACTACTTCATACCTGTGTACTGTCTGGGCTGGTCTTTTGCACACCTCCCTGACCAGCAATAAGTTACACTTAACCACGCTTGCAGGTTGACTACTATAACAGGATATTATCGCCGCAGGTGTCAGTGGAGTTGATTTGGTTTCACCTACAAAGTGACAGCATCACTACATTTGGATTATTACGCAGGATGGTCGGTTGTACTTCGTAGTACGGAGTTCCGCTGGACCCCCAGGAGTTAGCCTAATCCTGAGGCTGCTAGTAGTAGCGCTGCTAGACACCAGCCTCTAGGCGCCGCGGCTGTGCCTCACTTCTTGCGCCCAAAGCTGGCGCTGCCAGGCAATGCCATCGACCTCCTAGACGGCGCTGCAAACTTGAGCCGCAACGTTCTGACTTCTAGGTCATTTCTAGCCAACGATCCTAATCAATCCTTCCATTCCTGTTGAGACCTCGACCACCAACACCCTATGGGCGCTGCAACTGCAACGCTGTGCTACAGTTGCCTGACCGCTCGAGGGAGATGATCACTGCATTGCATCTGATGCATAACCTTCAATAAGAATGTGATTATAGACAAGTTATCCCGGATTTGATTAGTTACACAGCCCATTCCAACCCAGTCCCAGACACATGGGATGGGCTAAAATATCCACCCCCTCGCCCGGTCGTGTAATTTCTTACGAGTCAGTGTCCTGGCGTGCTCGACGTCGATTGCTGGAATGGAATTGATCCCTGCCGCCCACTTTCTTTGTTCTCTTTCGCCTTGGTCTCCACCACCGAGAATTGCGACATGCTGGAACGAGCCAACTACTGACCTGCCGAGCTCCGCCATTAATTAAAATGGCCCTTCGTCATAGGTTGTCTGCCTGACTTCCCCGGCGATGAACCCTCACGTGACCGAACGCAGCTGCGGCTACGCGTCGGATGAGGAGAAGATGGTGGGAACTAAGGCAGAACAGGTGAGGGTCGCCCGTCGGGGGACGTGGCAGCAAGAGAGCTAAAAGTTGAAGTTATTGTTGTGATTTAGTTATAGCCTTGTCTGGAATCATTCATCGTTGCAGCAAGTGCGACCTTTTGTTGCTACTGCAAGCAGTGGCCAGCTTGTCCTCAAGGAGACATGCCCCGGAGTACCCTCTCCACTCAAGTCAGGTTTAGTTAGTTCTCCTGTCTCTCTTGTACGGAGCAGAGAGCTGGGGACGAAGGAATTTGTGACACTCCGGGATAGGATCTACAACGGGCGCTGACAGACGGATGATCATCCGCCTTTTTTTTCTTGTTTTCTTTTCTTTTTCATTTTCATTTTTAATTCTTAGAATTTCTAGCGGTCTGCCCATCATATTGCAGACGGAGAAAATGGTTGTTATTTCCTCGGAACCTTCCCCTCGCTTTCTGCCTGAGCGCATGCGCGTACGCATATCATCCAGTTCATTAAGCGGGTGATGGACTAGTTAGCTCACTTGCCAGAGTCATATGCTCGAATAACTTGCATGGGGTAAAGCCAAGAGGGTATGCTACGCGCCTGAGTTGGGTTTGGAGCTTGCGCAGATTGACTGTGCCGCAATTCTGACCCTCAGCCAATCTCCGTTCGGCTCCATTACGCCGTGTAGCATTGCATCAGTTGAAACCTGGAACTAATGATGTCCAGGTCCTAATAATACTACTAACTGGCACCATACAAGTCCCCTTGTCATATGGAGCAGAAGAAGAAGAGGAGGAGGAGGAAGAAGAAGAAGAAGAAGAAGAAGAAAAAAAGTGGCCATCCAATTTAGGGTAATACTTTTGTTGCCTCGTACAGTAAGTCATGGCCGAGGCTGCCTCCGCCCTTTATTTAGGGTGGTGTTTCGCACTTGAATTTCGATACAGCTACCTGATAAGCTGCCGATGGAACCTTACCGTTTTCGCCTGGTCCACTTAATGAAACTGTAATCGTCTTGGCTTTTCCCTGCGATGCCAAGCTAATGGACTCGAGGGGAGCTGAAGGAAAGGGAAAGCGTAGGGAGAAAGAAGATTGGAGAAAAGGCTAGAAAGGTTTGGGGGCGCGTGCTGCTGATTGACTCGACTAGCAGAAAAGATAAGTGAAGGATAACGGCTACTACACCACCATCTCACACTATACTAGTACTCTATATCAATTTCTTATACGCAATACGATGAACAGTACACCCATTCATACTCTTCACCATAATAGCCCAGACACACACACCGGAATTCAAAAGCGAGAGATACGAGAAATTGGAGTGATTTAGCAAGAAGCCCATCCCGTGATTTGTGTGCTCGTCTACGCTAGTTAATTAGGATGAGTTCGGGGCCGATCGGCGCCAAACGAAGTTGTGGAGATAGTGACACAATTATCGGTTGTCACTCCTTCTTTTTCCCTGGCCATCATGGATCCTTTTTCAGGTTGAGGAAGTGGGAACTTCTCTCGGCTGAGTGTGGGGGGTTCAAGATTTGCTTTGTTTGTGTACTGCTGCTGCTGCTGCTACTGTGGCCACACGGCCCACTTTGCCTAGAACAACCCTTCTCCTGTGGGTGGGTGTCAGGCACGGTCGATGGAGGCACCCGACCCGACCTTGAAGGGTGACTTCATCGGCCTTCCTTACAGCCATCATGTGCGACATGTCTGATATATGCATGACTTTGATAATACTGATATCAGATCTACTACCTGAGAAACTCCAACCAGCCTGCTTCTTTGAGTCATAGAAAACAGATCTGTCAACATTGCCAATTCCTTTTGACGTTTTGTTACTCTTTTTTGTTTTGTTTTTCTTTATTTTCTTTTCTCCTCTTTTCCCCTTCTTTTCATGGATGATCCCTCGTAAGCTAATTACCTTACCGACCGGGTCCCTCTCTCTGTGAGAGAAAGAGAGTCCTTCCAAATCGGGCTTCCCCGTTGTCTCTCAATCAATCCTCTATTCTCTCTCTCGCTCCAGACTCGTCCGTCCCGGATCGTCATCCCCGAGCCCCGCCGCGTCTTCTTCGACTAGGCTACTTGTCTTGTGCTTTGCGACTAAAACTTCCTCAGACTCTAAAACAGAAAAAAGGCGCCCCCAAATATACCACCGTGCTCAACCCAGGATGGATCCTCCCAAGACAATAAATGGGTCGGCTAGTCTTTTGACAGTGACGGATTCAAATCCGCGGCAACTAGTGGGTTTGAGGATGTCAGTCAGGCCCGGCCTGAAGGAGGCTGACGAATTTACTCCAGATCGTTCCTTCAGCGGTACTTGCTTCGGAGTGAGATCGCAGTTCGGTCGCCAAGAGAGCAACAGGCCCTGCTATGATTCGTCCCCTCGTTTACTTGCCAAATGATGGTAATCCTTCACGGATCTTCAGCCCGCCCCTCCTTCTTCGCCGAGAGGTTGAAATAATGAACACTTATTATTATCAACTATTACTGAATGCCAACCGAAGGGGGCTATAATAGGTTGTGGTAATGATGCCATCAACGTGGACAGCTGCTGACCTTTTCTTCTGGAAGAATAAGAAAAAAACGATGTAATCATTACCGAAGTAGGCTAAGCAACTTAGGTCTCAGCTTATATGGCAGGGTCTTTAATCTATTTTGGCCTGCTGAGTTTTATACAATACCCCATAGTTGTGCCGTGTCGCCAGTCGCAATCGAGGATGGAGATGCTACTACGTACCGATCAAGTAGTAGTGGGTGGGATAGGAAAAATTAAAAAGGCAAATGAGAAAGGAAAGTAAAAAAACAGGCTTCATACCCTGTCTTTTGGGGGTTCATTACATACATTCAAATCATCGCGCAAAGTACTACTACGTCGTAACCGACAGATGAGATCATCTGGCAATTCAAGTATCGAATAAGGAGGGGGCAGGCGATCGTCTCACGGCTGCAGAGGATGTGTTGGCAAAGGTCTGCAGATTGTTATCTGGACCGCGCGGTTCTGTTCGGGATGATTTTTATCATCGACAGGAACGGCAAATAATCACAAAAAGGTAAGTACCTCGATTACCTAGTTTGGTTACCCGTGGTTTTCTTCAAAGTGGGAGGACCATCGTTTCTTAAACTCAGTATTAAGAAAGAAATTATTATTGGAAACGGGCGACCGAGCAATTACATTGAAGGAAAATAAGAAATTCAGAAGGATCGAGGATACTACTACTAATGGTGGTGGCCTCACGAAGTCAGTCAATCAGTCAGTCATGGCTAATCCCTTAAGCTAGGTTGGGGCCATCCATCCCATGGCCCTCATCTTTAGTCCATACTAAGTAAGTGGATTTAGTTAGGCTCTTTGTGTACTTTTCCCTATTCCAGTATTTGTTCTCTGTGTGTCCATTTACCTTTTTTTTTTTTTCTGTTACTTACTTTTTTAATAATATTATATTATTTTTAAATTTTCAAATTTCTCCCATTCCAATTTCCACCCCCTCCCTTTTTTCCCCCCGGTACTAAGGCTCGGACCCACACACATCGTGTCTCCCGCTTGGCTGTCAGGTCGCCTGTCCTTCAGCAATGGCCCTGCGCAATCTGAGACCATAAGAGCCAGACAGCGTTAGAGCCTCGATCCTATTCGTAAACCCGTCCCGACACAACGGTACGCTAGCAAAGCCACTGCAGGTTGGGTTGCTGACTCTATTCCGCGCCCAATAGACGCGGCCCATTACGGCCTTTCTGTTGGCTTGCTTCGCCGGCTTCCTTTTCCCCCCTCCCTCCTTGCCCTCCGTCCCTCAGGCTGACTCTGGCTTCCCCTTCTCCCACCCCCCTTCTTCTTCTGCCTCTCATTCACTGACTGCTCATTCCGTTTTTTCTCTCCAAATCCTCACCTGCTGATGGATGATGATGGTCTTGCACGAATCCTGCAGTGATCCTTTTTTCCATCCATATTTTCTTTTTCTTTTCTTCTGCTTATTTTTTTTTTTTTACTTTTCTTCTCGGGTTTCATTACTTTTTCCCTTTCCGTTTACTTTGCGAGGTGAGGTGTAGAAATCGAATGAAGGATTGTTCCATATGCCAACTAGCGTCCCCGAGAAAAAGTAATAATAATAATAATAATAATAACAAACGAATTAGAAATAAGAAAATCAGTAGTAGTGAGAAAAGATTGACCTTGCTTCCTGCTAACTAAGGATCTTCCCACCGACAAGTCAAGTCAAGTCAAGTCAGTCAGTCAGTCAGTCAAGTCAGTCACATTTTTAGTCTTGCGTGACTCCCGTATAATCCCGTTGCGTTCGTTCGTTTCTTTTCCCATAACCTACACCACCACTACCATACACATCACCCCCTTTTTTGTTATGATTATTTATTTCTCCGAAAAATAAAAAAAAAAGAAAAGAAAAAGAAAAAGAAAAACGTAAGGCCAGCGACCACGCTCAAGTGATTAGATTGGGCTAGCCATTCGAATTAATCATTCATTACTGACAGATAACTACGTAGATAGATAGATAGTAGGGGAAGAGAAAAAAAATAAAACGAAACTAGTAAGTAAAGTAACCCGAACACAACCGGATACATTCCAAATGAATCAATCGCTATTGACATCTTCCAGAGAGCGAGCGAGCGGCGATGGCTGGTACGTAGTACGTATGGGGGTCTCGAACATGTCCATCTCTCCAGAGATAGTACGTAGTAAGTAATTTAATTTAGTCTGAAGTAGATACTATCTTTCTATCTAGTATCTATAGGTACTAGGATGGGAGAAAAGAGAGTCATACCCAAAACAGAGAAAGTAAGAGAGAAAGAGAGGCTCGGAGCGAACAGTGGACTATCTACCCACCGCGGACACAATCCTAAGCTAACTAACCTAACTAACTAGCCTCCCACGGCTCCACACACACACACACCCCCATCCCCAATCCCAATGTAGATAAGTACAAGATGAAGATTGCTTGTGGAGTACAGCAGCAGCAAGCACAGCACACAAAACGAAACTAGCTCCGGGCCACACACAAACCCACCCCCCTCTCTCCCGGTCTTCTCCCTCCCCCCCCCCAGCCAGCTATGGGTAGTGAGTGGATGTTGTGTCGTCTGATGTTTTCCCGCCAGCGGCCGAAAATCAATCTGAAAGGCTTGGAAATTGCAAAAAAAATGAACCCTGCAATGCTTCGTTTCGGTCGACCCGTCTTGCAGCCTTGGAACGACCTATCAGGTTCGGGGAACTGGAATGACTTTTTTATTTTTTTTTACGTCTTGGCTTTCTCTCATGCAATGGCAGGGCTGCATGTTGTGGGCGGCGTAAGTTATTTATTTGATTATGTGTGATGTATTACGGCCGAATGACGGCGTTCTTTTTTTTCGAGAAATTTATTTTTCTTTCTGATTAGGTCTTCTTTCGGGGTTTCGGTTTTTGTTTGATCACTACGTATGTTTTGTTAGAAGGTGTCCAGTTAGATCAATTCCCTAAATATCTTATTTCTAATAGATAGACTCCCAGGAGGAAAGGAAGGAAGGAAAGGTATGTGTCTCTTAAGCTCCTCGCCGCGGGCAGATCGTGCGTCAAATATTTCCAGGTGGGTTTGAACCAAAGAGAAGGCCAAATCGAGTCATTAATTACGACCGCATTGATGTTTTCCTTCCTTAGTAGTTCATTAGTTAGTACGTAGGAGTAAAAGTAGCTGCTGCGGAATGCAAATGGTGGGGAATATAAATACGAGAAAGCCCTTGCTGGCGTAACTCTGTTACGCATAACACGGTTTGACACATTCTTCAGCAAGCAAGTCAGTCAATCGATCAGTAGGTGATTATTTATCTGTCTAGAGAGTTTTAGGTAAAGGGCATACTTGATCGCTCTCTCACTTCACCCACTTTAATGTACATCTTTGACAAAAGCAGTAACCAATTTGCGGTTGGCTGAGATCACTTTCAGTTCAGTTCAGTCAGTCATTCTATAGTAAGCCAAGAGCCTGAATAATGGCAGGTAACTTACTTACTCAAAACGTGGGGACTAATACATACTCAGTTTAGAAGGGCTGGCTCTTTCGCCTTAAGATACATACGTACCACATTTTTTCCAGAACGCTTTTTTTTCGTGTATTCAATTTTCTGATTGCTCAGTGTTATTTTTTATTATTATCGTATGAGTATTGTCTATTATTATCATATTATTATTCTAAAATTTATTATTGCTCCTTAGTCTGCGGCATGAATCCTTCGGGAATTTGTAATTATGCTGATAGGCTGGTGCGTGTGTGAGTGTGAGGGCGTTGTCCCAGCCATACCGAGACCTGCGCGTTGGAACTAGAAACTGCATGTGCCAGAAGAAAGCAGAGTAACGAGCCCATGGCACTGGGGCAAAGGAATGGGTGAATGAATGGGGATAGTGCAGAAAGGCTTGGGGGCCGACGAGGAGAATTGACATGGGGGGTAGTAGTGTGTGTGTGTGTGTGTGTGTGTGTGTGTGTGTGTGTGTGTGTGTGTGTGTGTGTGTGTGTGTGTGGGAGGGATTTGACTGATTGTGTACATGACGCTCATGCAGATGGCTCTTTTCGAAGGTCTGCTCCCCCTCACTCCCCGCGTGGCCAATCCTCCGCCCAGAGGTAAGAAGAGACAAGAGATGGTAAGGCGCGTTGTTGGCTGGCAAGTTGAGGATGGTGTCGTCGTCATTATCATCATCATCTTCTTCTTCATATCCGTGGCAGTTGCCAAACTACTAAATAGGGTTAAGGTAAGTACAATGATAACTCTTGCGATGTAGTAGTGTCAGTAGTGTAGTTAGTTAGCTGGGTCGACGATTTGAATGACCCGGACCCATTAAGCTTGTCGTCAATTTGGCCCGGACCCCAAGCGATCATTATCATATCATTATTATGAGTTTGGTTTTGATTATTCTTATTATTCATCCCCATTATATTACTATCGACGCTAACTGACTGGGTGCTTTAAATTAGCAGTTACTATACTATTCACTCTTACTCCTCGTTCTTCGTCTTTGTTCTTCGAGAACCTAATCTTGCGATAAGTTTTCTTAGGCAGTTTTATCAGGATCGATTCCTGTTCCCTTGGCCCTTCCTTCCGTCACTTTTCTCTTCGTCACACTTTTTTCTTTTTTAGAGAAGAGAATTATTATTTACGCTTTCGCTTGATTGTGGATTCTTCAATACGACCTCATTCCACATTGACTTTTCTGATATCTAATCTGCACAGTGCACGAACTGGCCAAGCCGCAATTCTGAGGGGTAAAGAAAAAGACGAAGGAGAAAGAGAGTGGAGTTGGAGCCCAGATTCGAAATAAACTAGGAATAAAAATAAAATCAGAGAATTTCAAAAATGGACGAAAATGAAAATAAAAACAAAAAGAAAAGAAAATAAGAAGCCCGAATAAAAATTAAGGAAAATCATAGGAAAATCCGAACCAGATCATAAATTACAGTAAGCCCCGATTAATTACCCGATCCAACGGTGACCCTCTCTAAACTAACCTCCCTCAAGCGTCCAGTCTGGCCCTGCACGTCGTCGGTCTGCCAACGTGACCCTGTCGCGATCTCCACTTGTTGAACCATCCAATCCATCGGATGCCATTCTTTCATCCAGTCGTTTTCTTTTTATCCTCGCTCATCCTCTCCTGCAGTTCATCATTTTGAATGCTGAGGATCCATTTGGCGTTGAAAATAAGTGGCGAATTCTTCTGGTGCTTGACGGGTTTCTAGACGAAACTATATCCTTGCATATAAGACCTGGTTGCTGCTATTGTTTTTTATTCTATTTGGGTTCCTATCTTATTCTATTCACTGCTTTCTATTTTGTTCATCTGGATCACCGGCCGAAATAAATACCGGTATACTATTTTACAGCCACCGCGAGTGAGGACATGCTTGCAGATGGACTAGGGTTGAAGGAACAGACGCGAGAACAAACCCCAGCAACAACAACAGGAGACTACTACCACCACTGCCACCAGTGGACGAACAGCCCTCCCCTCCTACAAGGCTTTCTCCTCTTCTCCAACCAATATACTACCCTCGCAGCTCCCTGCTGGCGCAGGCGCTACACATCACGCCGGTCACCGTCGTGTACCCGCCGTAGGAGTGACTCTCCCCACGACCGGACAGGGGGCGCAGTCACTTCGGCCTCTATTACAGGCCAGGCAGTCCCAGAGGTTTGGTACGCTGCATGGGTTAAGAAGAACTAACAGGGACCCTTGGCCACCATTGCCCTCACTAAAAGTCCAACCGGGAGTCTCGTGCGGCGTTGGCGATGCTTTAAGGACTGGCTTGTCCTGGGAAATTAATCGGTTCAACAAAGCTTCTCATTCCTCTTTCTACTCTATCCACGTCACTTCCTCTGTCTCTCCCAAGATTTTTGTTTTTTTCCCTCCTCCTCTTCTTCTCCCTTTCTCTTTCACCAAGGCACACACCAGTTGTAAAGTAGTGCAACTGTGTAGAAGCGCCTTCGGCCTTTGCTGAAAGAGACACACCCAACATCTGTCACATTTTTTGATTTGTTTTTTTCATTTTTATTTTTTGCTCCTTCCCTTTTTCTTCTTAATCTCTTACTATTTTCCAAATTTCTTATTTCTTTTAAACTCCTCCCCACCCACCCCCCTTTGGTGCTGGCCTCCTCTGGTTAGTCCAACATATTCACTGTGGGTGAGAAGTCATCGTTACTTGCATTTTCGTCAAATATACTTGGTCTCCTTTGGCGGTTGTTTCTTCCCTTCACTGGAACAACTATTTTTGTCTCCGCACTACTACCTCCACCCTCTTACCACTGGAACACCATCTTCTCTCCCCAAGGAGAAAAAAAAGAAACACCTCGCTAAAGCGTCCATTACTATCATCGCTGTTATTACACATTTACCATGGAGACTCTTCACGAGCGGCCACAGGCAAACTACATGCCGGCTTCTCGTCAAAGCCGCATGGCCATTGATTCTCTACTGAATCCATCATCAGAGAGAGAAAGCACGAGCTCTCGGATGCATTACAGCCACCCAGGACCACAACTGTCGCCTCTATATCCTCCCAGTCCCAACCAATACTTTTATTCCCCCTACTCAGATGGCCACCACCCCTACGCAGAGAGTTCTGCTTCATCCCAGGACGCAGCATTTCTTCCTTATCGACCTCGATCGGCCGAGTCATCGCCTGGCGCATACTCGCGAGAGCGATATGACTCGGTTTCCAGCAGCTCCAGCAATGCCCCGGAGCGACGTCGACCTCCTCGACCGAAGTACGAGGAAGAGGAAATGTACTTCATCTGGTACCATCGCGTGGACCTCTGCCAAGAGTGGAAAGAAGTACGCGAAAGCTTCAACCAACAATTTCCTAGCCGGCAGCGTCGGGGCTTCCAGGGAATCCAATGCAAATTCTATCGCTTCATCAAAGAAAAGAAGTGCCCAACCTTGCGAGAGCAACGGCGTCTCCGTGACGGTGACTTTCTTCGCGAGGGAGCGGGTCTTGCCGCTGAATCGGGGGCCCCGCGATTCGGTGTGGTTGACTGGGTGGGGATATGGTATCCATGGATGCGTGAGTCCAAAGAGGAAGTTCTCAGAAGACGCATCCCCAGGTGAAGGAGAAAATAAAAGAGAGAAAAGAAGAGGGGAAAATAGAGACCCTCCTTCACACACCTCCACTTCCTCACTCCTTCCTAATGACCATCCGACTCGACAATTTTGATGTCTTTGAAAATTGTTTTTTCCCTATTATTTTGTCTGGAAATTCTCTGATACAACTCACGGCCGTCTGAAGATACCTCTCTGTTTAATTCCTCAAATTTCCCCCTTCTTCTCCTATCCTCTTTCTATCCTCTTTTCTCTTTATCTCTTTTGTCACATTTCATTTCGCTCTTTACGTCGGCACCATTCAGCATGTTATGTTACTATTACTACTATCACTTGGGAGGCTCTCTGATCTTTGCTTGCATACATGCATCTTACACACATGGCTAAGGGTGGGTTGGTTCTCATCACATTTTTGTTTTTAGCACCTTTTGAAAGGGTTGGCTACGGAAATAACAACTACTGGGACTATGGACAATCATCAATATAACTGGATTATTCTTTCTATCAATCTTTGTTGTAAGGAACAAGCGTAGGGCAATGAATGAATGCGCGAATAATTACACCTTTAGATTTCCCAACCGCGAATCAGGCCATTCTGTAAAGAGAGCCTGCCCACTCTGTTGTCATAGACTCTTTTGGCACTTATGTCCGATGGCCGAGAGGTAGTGAGTGGTACGTATGGATACGGGGGCGAGTGTGTTCGATACGGTATTTTATGTATGGTGTGTATGGTGATTACAGATAGGCTGCAACTAGAAGTCTTACTTGGCAGTGTATGTTGGTTCCATGCTCCAACCCCAATGAACAGACAGTGGTTTAGACCATCATTTATACTCAAGGGTAGAAGCGTATATCTACTTTTGCTTGAGAGAGGTTTTATGGGGGAGACGTGGGTGTAA